CCCCCCCGAGCCCCCTGGCTGACACCTGCCACCGGGAGGAGACAGACTCCCCGCCACACCGCGCCCAGCAGTCCACCCGCCCCCCAAAAGGCGCGCACGGCTGCCTTACACGCGCACACCCCCTCGCCGCCCCCGGCGGGCCCCTGTGGCACATACATGCTGCGCGCCCCCCCCTCGGAACGGAGGACGCGGAAATATGAGCCTACATCTCAGGCAGCGAAGCTCGAAACTCCCCGCCCCGCCGCCCCCCGCCCCTGCAGACACCCATAGGCCCCATCCGCGGAGCGTGGGGGAGGGGGGCGGGCACGCAAGTTCGGCAGGGTTCTCACGGGTTAAGCCTAAGTCAAGTGAGTGAGGCTTGACGAAGGGCACCGCCGCGATCCGCCACCCAGCTGGCGACCTCTTGGCATACAGAGAGGGAACATACCGACCTGCGGGCTCGCGGCCGTCCATTTCCAGATCAGCCAGTAACTCGGCTTCAGGGCGAGGTGTGCCAAGCAAGATGGAAAGAAACTCGGGCGTTAAAAGGGGGCTCAAGAGGACGCCTTAGAATGGGTCCCCCCGGAGGCCCCACTGGTGCTTCGGCTACACTTTCGTATGCTCCTCCACACGCAGCCGCTTATGTCTCCGCTCTCAAGAGACCCCGATCTGGAGCCCCCTCTTGACCTTCAGGCGCGGTCAAGGGCTGGATCTGAGAACCCTGCGGCTGGGCCCGCCCATCTGTGTGCGTCCCTCTCCTCGGTCGAGCGCCTGCGTCCATTCCATCCCGCAGGCCACCGGGTTGCTTTCCTACATTGCGCCCCTCCACCAAGAATTCTATTCTCCGAGGGCATCATCCACCCATTATGACACGTGCATCGAGACTCTCGTGTGTTGCCCTTCGGTCGTTTACATTGGGATTCCCCACAATGGTCGTTGGTCGTGACCATATTATGGCATGGGGTGCCTCTCGTGATAGGGCTGCCTAGAAATCCACACACCGCCCGCCGCCTCGGGCCCCGCTCGCGCTCCTGCCTTTGCTCCATATATGTGTGTGTGTGTGTGTGTGTGTATGTGTGTGTGTGTGTGTGTGTGTGTGTGGTCTAATGCATGTGTATACACCCCTGCCTGCCTCTCCTCCGCCCCCCCCCCTCCCCACACACACGCACACACAGCGCAGGATGTAAGGCACCAGAGGGGAGGGAAGAGTCGCGGCAGGACTCCCATTGGGAAAAGGAACAAGCAACATACAAAGCAAACTGCTTGTTGTCTGGGAGGGTCGAGAAAAAAGGGCCTCTGGCTATCGCCCTTCCCCCCTGCCCGGAGAGGGAAGGGCAGTCTCAAGATGAATGGAGCGCGGCCAGGCAGAGCAGGCGGCATATGGCGCACGCGCGCGCGCGCACGCCCGGAATCAGTCCAGCTCAACGATGTCGGCAGCCCCACCGGTGGTGTCCTCGGCCGGGGTGGTGATGTTCAGCTCCTTGACCAGCTTCTCGGCCTCCTCCAGTGCCTCCTCCGGGGTGGGCTCGACTTCCTGGTCGCCACCGCCCTCGCGGATCAGGAACTGCACCAGGCCCTCGATGGTCTCACGCTCGGTCGAGTCGGCCGCCGAGGCCATGTGCATCTCACGGATGACAGGGTACTGTGTGTGTGTGTGCGTATGTACGTGTGCGCGTGTGCGTGCGGGTGCGTGTGCGTGTGCGTGTGCGGACAAAGAAGTGTGAGTAGCAGGAAGGCACAGCCAGTAAAAAAGGCCAGGACGATGAGGGACCAAATGCAGGAACGCACCACCGAGCCATCACGCATGCGCACACGCCCGGCGCGAGTGCCGGCCAGCAGAAGCAGGCACTCCAGGATCAGCAGGCGCACTGAGGGGTCCGACTCGCGGCCAAACATGGCGAAAGCCGGCGACTCGGCGACCGGTGCGGTGGTAGGCTCCGGCAGGGCACGCATCCACTCCGGCGCCTCGTCCCATTCGGTCTGCGAGCCAGTCCCCTCGGCCGGGGTGTCCGACTCCTTGAAGGCCACATGCTCCTCGGACTGCTGCTCCACGACGACGAAGGTCCGGCGCAGATCCGAGGGCAGAGCCACGAAGCGCAACAGGGCCGCCACGAAGTCCTTGGAGGGGGTAACCTTTCGCGGGTCCGCTGGGGCGGGGCCCAGCAGGAACGTGTGGCTGGTCATCGCGAAGAGGAGATTCCTGGAGGATGGGGTGGGAGGGAGAGAGAGAGGGAGAAAGAAAAAGAAAGAAAGAGAGAGAGGGGGGGGAGTGTGTGTGTGTGTGTGTGTCAATAGCCAGGGATAACGGACAGAGGGTTACGCCATTTGACAGCAGTGAGCATGGCTGGTGGAGGCAGAAGGACGCACTTGATCGCCGCGATGATGGACTGGCGCGCGCCAGACAGGGCCGCCGCGAACTGGACCTCCGCGTAGGGCCGGTCCTCATCCGAGAGGTTGGCAACATTGAGCTTCGAGTCGCGCGCCTCATACACAGCCTCCAGCAGCTCCAGGATGTAGGGGCGCATATCCATCAGGCAGATGATCGACAGAGTGTAGGGGGACTATGCCCAAAGTAGCCACACGAAGAGGACAGCCGCATGAGGAAGCGAATTTGGATGAGTGGTTAGGATCAGGAGTATGCCCCCCTGGCATGGACAAAGGGCCGGCGAGAGGCCCATGCAAAAGAGGAGGGGGGGGGGGGGGTCGGCGGGGACGCACGCGCAACATGCTGACCAGAGTCCAGGCAAGGTGGCTGGCAAAGGTGAGAAGATCCTTGAACTTGGACTTGACCAGCTGCGTCAGCTGCCCCAGGAGCAGCTGCATGTGGCGCTTGGCCGTGGCGTCGGTGCCCTTGACACCCTGGATGACACGGCGGTGCATGACGGCCAGCTTATCCTCCGACAGAGGCAGGGCCGACATGTTGGCCAGCAGCATGGAGCACTTGAAGGGCGAGTAGTCGGTGTACGGCTTGGGGCTCTTTTTTTTTCCCGGGTTAAAAAGAGAGGAACGGAGAAAGGGATGTCAGCCCAAAGCAACCTCAGGTGGATGATCACCGTGGGGGGAAAGAGATAGAGGGAGAGAGAGAGAGAGAAGGAGATGGGAAGAAGGGGAGAAATCCCAGACCGTGGGGGAAAGCCACCGCGCACCTGGATCAGCGACAGAATGCTCTCCGGGAGGGTGGAATTGAAAAAGCAGGCAGCCACCGTATCGATGTCCTCCTTGCTCAGAGGCGAGGGGGCACCATTCGTCGCGGCGAAGTCCGGGTCCGCATGGGTGTTCAGCAAGGCGCACAGGTTCACCATGACCGAGATCATCTTCTCATGGGCCGACGCCGAGGACATGGTCCCCTTCGGCAGGATGATGTACTTCTCCAGCAGGCGGAAGGCCGCGCCCTGGTGCTGGAGGATCAGCCCGAAGACGGAGTTCTCCACGTCCGTCTGACCGGAGTACATCAGCAGGATATCCGCCAGGGTGTTGAGGTACTGCATGTTGGGCGTCTTGTCCAGGGGCTTGATGGCCTCCCAGAGCTGGTGGTCGGCGGCCATGATGAGAGTGCGAGGAAGGGGGGGATTCCGCGAGCGACGCGGCAAGTGGAGGGCGAGGAG